TAAGAGCTATCTTTAGGATGTTGGATATGGGAGAGGTGGGCTCTGGTGAAAAAAAGGATTTCTGGGGGTACTTTGAGTGAGTGATGGACTAAATGGAGGTAGGTGTGTGATTCTCGGAGGATATGGTGATGCGTATGGCGTAGTGTGAGTGCATGGGCTAGTGTGTATGGACCGAGGGTACATATGGGGAGGTGCGTTAACTATGTGGTAATTGTACCTAAATGGAGTTTCAGTTGGGGAGGTGTAAAAGCCAAAGTAATTTGAAGGGTTGTAATTAGGTAGTAAGGAGTTTGCAATGCTAGAGTGATTTGGCTTATTCCTATGCCATGCAGGTGGATTTTGGGGAGTCGAGATGCGGTTATAGAAGCTTGTTTGTTTTTGGTTAGAGTTTGGTGGGCTTCTATTTGTTATGTCAACATACCTAGGGCGTTTTGGTTGTGTTGGTGTGCTTAGTAAGGCCTTTTGGTTTATGTGTCTTGTTTGGTAGTCGTTTTCTAGTACTAACTGATCGGTCTTGGGGGATGTAGTAAAACTTATACTGCTATCTAAGGGTGTCACATGACTCGGTCCGGGATCTGCATCATCGTTTTGTTCTGGTTGAACGTTGTTATTTTGTTGTGCCTTCCTCGTTTGTTTCTGACCAGCAGTTCTAACTGTTTTTGCAGTTGCGCGTTTTTATCATGAGAACTAGAGTCAGACGTACTTGCTGGAGGTCCTTCTGCGGGGGCTGTGGGTTTATCATTTGGTTTACGCTGGCCTGTGTATTTCTTTTTATTAGTGCTAGAAGTAGAAGTAGTGGCTAAAGGTTCAGTTGAGGGACCGGAGTGCTGATTATCGTATTTGTAGCTGGTGTCTTTTTCCCGTAGTTTACGTCTTTGCATAGGTGTCAAATCTGGACCTATAAACGAGTTTAGGTTCCGCAGATTTCTGTTTACTTCGGGATTTTGTAGGACAATCTCAGCTTCCGCCTGTGAGTAGAATGTTACTAAGACGGGTTTTTTTTGCTTCGGGAGTGAAGTCTTTTAGTGTTAGCTACTCTGATATTTAAGCCACACGAATGTATAAAATTTTGAATTGATGGCATCGGATTAACGGTGTGGGGTATATTACGGATAATTAAATTGAGCCTGCGTTTCGATCTATCGCAACTTCTGACGAAACTAAGTGTATAATCGATTCAATTTGTGGTAGGCTCGTTAGATTGTTCGTGAATCTATTTGAGTCTGTTAATGAATCGAGAATCGTAAAAATATGTTCATGTTTCTCGATGAACTTCTGTAAACGGACGATGGCCGAAAGATCTACTTTGTGGACAGCAAACGTAACATCAGTCATGGTTAAATGGGGAGAGTGTAATGGATTTATGTGTTATTTTCGACAGCTAATAAAAATCGACGCAAAATCGACGCAGAAATATGTCAAATATTTCAGTTATAAATGAATTTCAACTTATCTCGAGTCTAAGGATTTTGAACGGTTGTGCACAAACGGGCTGCGAGGGGGTTGTAGACTTGAAAGTTAAAGGTTTGAAGGGTGAAGGAAGGTTTCCACTTGATCTACCACTAAATCCCAGGAGGACCCTTCTCGAAGTAAAGAAGTTGAGTGTTCGGGAATGAGATCGTTAAATTTGCCTTTATACTTTCCCGTGTAAGGTGTTTTCGTAATTTCGACTTGAATACCAGAAACTTAGGCGATGACCTAATTTCTGGGGGAAGATTATTCCAAAGGAAGGCATATTTGGAAGCAAAGAAGAGGGAGCGCTTAGATGTAGTGCAAAGGGGAGGCGGAATCACCATAGGGGAGGTGCGCGTGGCATAGCACCGATCTCTCGGAGTGAGAATGTCAATGAACGGAAGGTTGGAGGTAGAATTAATGTGAAAAAAAGAAGCAGAGGCCAGCTTCGAGTCTTCTAACCCACAAAAACTTAATGTTCGCCAGATGACATCTCTGACTAGGCAATATGGGAAGGTCGGATGCTTGTTCACTAATCGAATTTGCAATCCCGTCCGTTCCTCAGCAGTGTGAGTTTTTCAAACGACTTATGTATTTGTTAATGAGATTTGAGGAGACATGAATTGTACTCAGCGTCCTATTTGAAAGCGAAAGAAATAAAGAGATTGGATTGGACTCAGCAGTAAGGTGTTTTGCAATGAAAGCAGTAAACAACTCCGTCTTGTCAGTGTCACCGATGAGGAAGATTTCCTCATCGTTAAGCAGTGGTGGAAGTTCGTGACCACTCTTAGAGGAGGACTGAAGACGGAAGATGTAAGCGACGGATATGTTAGGGTTCGAATCACGGGGAGCAAGCGATTCTTTTTGCCTGTCGCACTCTTGGCGCGTCCTTGAGGCCATTTCAAAAATCCCTGTCATTCTAAGATGAGCGAATAAAAAATTAGTAGATAGGTCACGCAGCTGTCATGTCAACTTTTTAGTCCGTTGCAAAGGAACTAAGGGACAAGGGAATCTGAGGAAGTAGACTTGAGATATCTACGAGGCACAAACTCTAGGGTGTCCTTGGAAACACTGGATATGACATCACGAAGTGTTGTTGCGTCGATATAGGAGAGGAAGCCACACCAATCCAATGATCTAATATAGTCATTTATTAAGTCGTTATCTAAGCAATCGTAGTTTACATAGGTTTGAACCGTGCCGGCACTTTTTGAAAAGGCAGGTGGTAAGCAACGATGAATTAATACGTGGCGACTATCAAAGAGGTCCTTTTTGAAATCAAAAAAGAGGGGGGCAGTGTAATTGGTAAAGATTAGATTTAAAATGTTATTATCTCTTCTTTGAGAGTGCACCAATTGGGACCAGTTAGAAAAATTGACAATATCTTGAAAGGGCTGGAATCTAGGTGGACAGATATTAGAAACCCAGTATATTTCAGGAAAGTTAAAGTCCCCAGTTATTATTTTAACATCGAAAGCAGCTTCCGAAATTAATTTAAACATTTAGCGGAGTTGTGACTCATCACTGGCTGAAGCGTTTGGGTGACTGTAGATACAACCAATAATTGCCTTTCTTTGCGGCGAGATAATAACAGATGCAAAGCAGGTTCCCGTGAATGAGGAGACATCCAGGTAATACGTAGTGTGCTTTATGTAGGGTCTAAGACAAAGAAGAAAACCACCCTCACGCCTAGTCGTGCGGTCTGGACGATAAAAATCGAAGTTATCTATAAAAAGGGCAGTGTCAGGAATTAGAGAATGGGTCCAAGATTCTGTTACATATGCAATATTAGGCGTCATTTCAAGAGTAATGGCTCTGATTTGGGCCATCTTGTTTATTACAGGCCTGGAATTCAATAATATAATAACTAATGCGTTCCGAACAGCAGGGATATTGTCGACGGTATTTGGAAGAAAAACTTTGGAGGCGGATGTGTTGGCTGTGAATTAATGATGCTTGGAGAATAATTACCAGTTAGTGTAGATTTATTGACTTACGGGGAGTCAGCAAGAGAAGGCTAAGCATGAGACCTAAAGGATGTGGGGATATAGGTTTCCAGCATTGTAATGCTAGGGGAGTTCGAACAGGGATAGGGATGTTGGTAGTCAAATTGTGGAGGAGGGAGAGGAGGAGATGGAAACCTAGGGGGAAGGTAGGGGCTGGTGGGGGAGGGTAGGCGACAATAAGAATAAAAGGGTGGGAAACCAGGTCTAGTTTGGAAGTCAAAGGAGATAGGTTGACGTACCTGAGAGCAATTGACCTTAAGTAGTGGGAAGCCTGAACTAGGTTGAGGCATAAATGACTTAGGGCAATTCATGTATGAATTATTTGCTGGATATATGTTAGGGCTTTGATAAGTAACCGGTACGCAGGACAGAGAATTATTCGGGGTTATAATTGGAGCTGTGGGGTTTTTAGACGAGCTAGGCTGTAAAGGCTTGGTAGATCTAAAATAAGGAGACGTACCCCTTAATGGAAGTGTACTACCTTTCTTTTGGATCAGAGTCTGATTTAGTTTTGGAGTCTCACCGTTCTGGCGCCAAGCCATAGCTGACTTAACTGTAGAGCTTGCTGTACCCTGCTGAACTGGTGAAGTTATTGGTCTGACTTCTGTGGACGAATTTTCATGCGTCCCAAGGGGGCTATCTGGAGTATAAGAATCGACAAATTGGGCTGCTGCTGCCAATTCAGGGACAGGCAAATGTGTCAAGTGGCCTCAGTGAGAGGGAGATGTAGGAGTAAGGGGAAGGAGGGAGTTAGATGTCGCAGGAGTAGGACAAGCTGAATCCTCACGGCCTTCTGTGTTATGGCAAAGTTGGTGAGCATTAGACTGAGGAGCAGTGGATTTACGTGAGAAGAGAGTCCGATTATACGATCCATGGGAGTAAGATCTTGACAAAGGGAAAATTTTGCACTTTCCAGTTACGCAGAGACACGATCTCGATGGGCAAATATTGTGTCAACCTTGATTGATGAAAATAATTTGACTAAGACGGGTGGATTTTTGCTACGGAATTTAGGTTTACTCACATTTTCGATTGTTCACTCTAAACTTTCTTGTACACCTCAACATTTCTGTACGATTGTTTAAATTAGCTAAAGTACACACACTTGGTTTCGACTTGTGAAAAAGCGTGACTTTTGTGTCCGTCTGCTGCTTGGTGTCATTGTTTCGTTGATTGCACTCACTTGCGTCAATCGTTTTTAGTCAATCGACAGGAAACTCTTATATCTTTGGGCCATATTTAACTGGACGTAATTTCATCTGAACGACAAGCCTCATTCGTTGACTTCGTCTCGGATTCTACCCAGCACATTCACCCTACGGCCAACGCTTGTGGAGAAGGCTTTATTTATCGTGAGTCTGTACACTTATTTACCTTTTCTCGCTTTTCTTATACTCATTTTGCTATCGTTATTTTTCTTCTAAGAAACGCAGCATTCCCCACTCAGAGTTAGATACTTATTATTGTTTGTAGTTTTATTGCCGTTTACACTACAAAAGTGGCGACCCTGTTTTTATATATCTACACAACCTATTTTTTACTATGACCCATAACGAACCTCAAACGGACTCTCTCGACGTCAATACCCTCTCCTTCAATTTACCTCCTTTTACACCGAGCAACCCCCGGGTTTGGCTTCATCAAATTGAGCGGTTTTCTCAACGAGCCGCATTACAAGCGAACGCACCCGCTGCTCTTATGTGGTACAAAGTCTCCCATTTGACGTTGCCGTCGATGTTGACGAACTCCTCGATCCTATTCCTGCCAACGACCCGTACACCCAGTTAAAGAATGCTGTCATCCAGAGAGTGGCCAAGTCGGCCAATCGGATGCTACGGGAGTTGTTCACACAGGTAGAACTGGGAGATCAAACTCCTTCACAGCTTATGCGCCACATGCGCTCATTGCTGGCTGGTCGTCATATGGACGACGATATCTTTCGACAAATCTGGTTGGATAAGTTGCCAGTTTCTATGCAGCAGGTTTTGTCCATGCTGGACACTAGCATCTCTCTTGACAAAGTGGCCAGTTATGCCGACAGGATCAGCGAATGTTACCCGGTCGGTGCGACATGCGCCAGTATTCAACCGACCTCGGTGCTCGACAGATTGGATAGAGTAACCATCTCTTGTCCAGAAGTCACTCCTTCACTGGAACGTGACACTTGTGTGGACCGGTCGGCCTGTCGTTGTTCATCACGCAGAGCTACCACGCCATCAGGTCCATCAAGACCACCTAACAGTCCCAACCGCGGCGATTATGACAACCTCAAAGAAACTGTACGTCTTTTGTGCACACAAGTTAGCACCATGCGCACTGCTATAAATAGCTTACAGTCGACCAGAAACCCTTCACCCTCGCGCTCTCGTTCTTAATCTCGAGAGGGCCCCTCTACAACTCTGTGCTGGTATCACCGGGTTAACGGTTCGAAAGCACGCAAGTGCATTCCTCCCTGCACATACCTGCAGGCCTCACCACAGGGAAACGACCGCGCCAGCCAGTAACGGCGACAGCTGCCGCTGTCCAGTCACGACCCAATCGCCTCTTCTATATCAGTGACAAGACGAGCAGCCTCCGTTTCCTCGTCGATACTGGTGCCGAGATTTGTGTGATCCCGCCTCCAAGGCGCCACCATCTCAAGCCTTCGCGGTTTTCATTGCAGGCTGCCAATAGCACCACCATCAACACTTATGGTCAACGGTCGCTCACACTTGACATCGGTCTTCGGCGACGTTTCCAGTGGGCCTTTGTGCAGGCCGACGTTAAATCTCCCATCATTGGAGCAGATTTCATGACTCATTTCGGCCTTACAGTCGATCTCAAGCATCTCAAACTCATCGATACCACAACTACACTCTATACCGTAGGGATTGCTGCTTCTGAACCCTCGGTTAGCATCCAATTGACCGTACCAAGCTCACCCTTCGCTGACATTTTGAAGGACTACCCGTCCCTAACTAAGCCCTGTCAGTTCACCGGGGAAGTTCAGCATACGGTTAAACATCACATCATCACCACGGGGCAAACTGTTTACGCTCATCCTCGCCGTCTTCACCCCGAAAAACTCCGGATAGCAAGGAACAAATCTGAGCATATGATGAACCTAGGCATGATTCGTCCTTCCTCCAGCCCATGGGCTTCTCCCCTCCACATGGTACCCAAGAAATCCACTGATGATTGGAGACCATGCGGCGACTATCGCGCTCTCAACAGAGCCACGTTCTCGACCGATACCCTATTCCCCATATGCACGATTTTTCTCACGCGCTAGCCGGAAAAAAACTATTTTTTCCAAATTAGACCTGGTGAGGGCATATCACCAAATTCCGGTCGAGGAAGAAGACGTCCCCAAGACCGCCGTCACAACGCCTTTCGGTTTGTTCGAATTCCTTTGCATGCCGTTTGGTTTGCGCAACGCGGCCCAATCCTTCCAACGCTTCATCGATGAAATCTTGCGGGGTTTCTTATTCACTTATGTCTACATTGACGACATACTCGTCGCAAGTTCTTCGGCAGAGGAACATGCCTCGCACTTGCGCCAGATATGCGACCGTTTTTAGCAACATGGTCTGCACTTAAACGTCGAAAAATGTATCTTTGGCGTCTCTTCTCTAGATTTCCTTGGTCACCACGTCGACCAGCATGGAATCACACCGCTGCTAGAGAAGGTGCAGAACATCCTGTCATTCCCTGTCCATAAGACACTGACTCAGCTGCGCCGTTTCATTGGCCTCCTCAACTATTACAGACGTTTTATCCCTCACTGTGCGGCGACCCTAGCTCCCTTAACTGACCTTCGTAAGTCTAAAGCAAAGCCCATCGAACTTCCTCCAGCAACTCACTCAGCCGTTCAGGCAGCTTAGAAAGCTCTTGTTGATATCACTTTGCTTCACCATCCCAGCTCCGATCCCCACGCACAGCTGATCTTGACCACTGACGCTTCCAATAGTGCTGTCGGCGCAGTCCTACATCAACAGGTGAATAACCAGTTGCAGCCATTGACTTTCTTTTCACAGAAGCTACAACCGGCGCAGACTCGCTATAGTACTTTCTCTCGCGAACTCCTTGTCATCTACCTGGCCATTCGTCACTTTCGACACCTCTTAGAGTGCAGAGATTTTTCGGTTCACACCGACCACAAAACTCTCAATTACGTCCTCAAGGCCAAGCCAGATCGGTACTCGCCCAGGGAAGTTCGTCACCTGGACTATATATCGCAGTTTACTGCAGATGTCCGCTATGTCCGAGGCAGCGACAATGTCGTTGCTGATGCATTATCCCGTCCGGACATCAACACACCTGCATACCATTTCGACCTGGCGAAGGTTGCAGACCTCCAATCAGGCGACAAGACCATTGAAGACCTGCGTTCTACTAATACTCTGCAACTTCGAGATGCACCACTTCCCGCATCACCAGGCACGATTTTATGCGACAGGTCCACAGGCACTCCTCGGCCTTTTGTTCCACTATCCTCCCGCAAGACAGTGTTTGACCATCTCCATTCCCTGTCACATCCTGGCATCAGCGCTTCGCGTAAACTAATCGCTACTCGTTTTATCTGGCCGAAGATGAACTCTGATATCGCTCTTTGGACTAAGTGGTGTTTAGACTGCCAGAAGAATAAAGTACACCGTCACACATTTTCTCCACCAAGTACATTTGCCGTTCCAGATGTTCGTTTACACCACATCCACTTTGATTTAGTTGGTCCGCTACCCCCTTCACGCGGGTACACGCATATTCTGACAGCGGTTGACCGTTTCACACGATGGCCTATTGCCGTTTATGTCTCGGATACCTCGGCAGGAAATATCGCCATGGGTTTTTCTGACGCACTGGATTTCAACTTTTGGTTTTCCAGCCATCTTTACTACTGACCGCGGGAGTCAATTCCAATCTAGCCTCTTCCTTGAGTTCACTAAACTGCTCGGGTGTGCGCACATCACAACCACGGCATATCATCCTGCCTCCAAAGGCCTCGTGGAGCGTCTACACCGTCAACTGAAGTCCGCACTGATGTCCCAAACAGAATCAGCTTCTTGGAGTGACAATCTACCTCTTGCGATTTTGGGCATCCGATCTTCTGTCAAGGAGGACATCCAATGCACTGCCGCCGAACTTGTGTACGGTACACCCCTCTGTCTTCCCGGCGAATATGCGCAGTCTTCCACGACGAACACCAACATCCCAAGCACCTTCGTACAGCAGTTGAAGCAACGCATGGCTCAACTGCGTCCAACCCCCACTCGTCTGACATCGAAGCGTGTGTTTGTGCATGAGGACCTTAAATTTTCTCCATTCCTTTTTGTCCGGAATGACGCGGTTCGCAAGTCTCTTTGCTCCCCATAAGATGGCCCGTACAAGGTTCTTCAGCGGATGGACAAGTATTACGTCATTCAAAAGGCTGACAAAACTGACACAGTCTCCATCGACAGACTTAAGCCAGCCTATGTTGGGTGCATCCCACCGTCAGTTGTGCCACCGACTTCCTCTGTACCGTCCTCACCCGATCCACCCGTTTCGGCCCCCTCGACTCAACCACCACACTCGACCACCCCACCCACCCATCCTGATTCTTCCTCTATTCCACCACACACCTCATCTCGTTCTGGTAGACATATCCATTTTCCTGCCAAACTCAACGGACGCGAGCAACTTATCAAATGATTTGGATACAGCAATAAAGGCAGTCCCAGAGTCTGAGACTCAATCTACCGCCAGTAAAAGAGGGCAGGATAAAACCTTCGGTTTTTTCCCCGACAGATCTCGTTGTGTGGTAGTGCAAGGAGTTCCTGAAGCACCTGGTGATACCCCGAAAGAGAGTGTGAAACACGATCTGCTGATATTTCAAAACCTACTCAGTGACACGCAAGAACCCGGTGAGGTCGTCGAATTCCAAAAGATCTTCCGTTTGGGACCTTTAGAAAGAAACAACGCAGACATAAGTGCGGTCGAGACCACTGAAAGTCGTATTGGGAAACGAACAGCAAACAAATCTCATCTTGTCGCGAAAGTCGAGGCTCCGAAACAACCATCGTGGAGTGTTTTTTCAGCCGGACTATCACCCAATCGAACGAATAAAAATGAGGACGCTGGTAGCGGAACTGAGAAAACGTCAGAGCGAGGGCGAAGTGAATCTGAAAACAGCAAACAACCAAATTGTAAAAATAGAGCGTTCCTTCTTGTGGAATAATCCGTTTACGTTGACGGTACCAGCACCGGCGCTCGGTTCCGACAAACTTCAGTAAATTCACAATCGACTAGTGGGCATGGTACGCCATGTGAAATATGCAGTAATAACTATCAGTCAAAAGAACCAGCAAACAATTTCCAGAGATCGAAACAGCCGAATAACATAAAAATGATGTAGACAAATGTGCAAAGCTTATTCAACAAATTGGATGAAATAAAACTCACTGTGGCCCATTTCCAACCCGACTTGATAGCTTTAACAGAAACATGGTTAGATGCGCAGATAGAAGATGCGGCAGTTATGCTAGATGGTTTCCAGATTCTCCGAATGGACAGAAACGACCGAAGGGGTGGGGGATTGAGATATTTATAGGAGATAGCATCGACTACGTCAGGGTTGAGTCTTCCCCATTTTGGCACATTGATTGTGAAATACTCAGTTGTTACTTGAAGGTGCCAAACCATTCAAACCTTCATATGGCCCTGGTTTACAGACCAGCAAGCCAGCGAACGGATGCGGACGATGCACTTACCACCGAGATAAAAGAAATTTGTCGAAGCAAACACATAATGCTACTTGGTGACTTCAACTGTCCAGACATAGAGTGGGATTTGATGTATTGCACGCGATCAGAATACCCCTTCGAACAGAAATTTATGCAACTGATCACAACTGAGTTCCTTACCCAACATGTTAAAGTGAACACTCGATTTAGGGATGGACAGCAGTCCAGTTGTTTGGACCTCATCATCACCAGGGATAATTGTTGCATTGTCGGATTGGAATCGCACCCGCCCCTTGGCCGAAGTGACCACTGCGTTCTTGTTTGGGAGTATAGTCATTTTTCTGTACCCGAAATTCGAGCTGCTGAGGAAAGAAACGTATGGAAAGGGGATTATACCCGAATGAAAAACCTGCTACAGAAGGTAAACTGGAATGCACCACAAGGACCTGACCCAGTAAGCGATTGGCTCTTCTTCGAGAACATAATGCAGCACTTGGTAGAGAGCTGTTGCCCACTGAAGAGGAGGCCGCGCACATCCCGACCAGAGTGGGTGACGTCAGGAATAAAGAAGAATCTTAAATTGAAAAGGAGACTTTGGAAAAAGTACGCCAGTTGTCAACAACCAGAGCATTTCGCTGACTTCAAAAAACAGAGGAATGTATGTCGGAATCTGTTGAGGAGGCAACGGGCCCAATTTTAGTTGAAACTATTAAAAAATATCCCGCAAAATTCAAAAAATTCTTTGGGTATGTGAATAAGACAAAACGCAACCGGGACTGCATTCCCTGCCTAAAAGATCGCCAGAGAAATACGTTGTCTGACAACTCACATCAGGCGAACCTGTTATCCGACTTCTTCACGTCTGTGTATACTGAGGAGCCGGCCTTTGATGAAAGAGTTTACCCCCCCCCCCAATTGTCAAATCAAACAGTACAATTAGCACGGTAGACTTCACAACAGACACGGTAAGGAAAACTTTGACGCAACTACCGCCCACTAAATCCCCTGGTCCGGACGGCGTGTTCGCGAAAGTTCTGAATGAGCTCTCAGACCAACTGGCCTCTCCGTTATCCAAGATCTTCAAAACTTCGATGGAGACCGGGGCTATGCCTACCGACTGGAAGCAAGCAAATATAAGCCCCATTTTAAAGGTGGCGAGAAAACAGCCCAAATAATTTCAGACCAGTGAGTCTCACTAGCATCTGTTGCAAGTTGATGGAAAGAGTAATAAAAACGGCACTGATGTGACACCTCGAAGAAAACAACTTGCTCAGTCTACATCAGCATGGATTTAGAAGAGGTCGATCCTGTCTCAGCAACCTCCAAGTATCCATGGAGAGCTGGACGAAATCAGTTGACATGGGCTTATCAGTCGACGCCGTGTACATCGACTTCCGAAAGGCTTTTGACAGTGCTCCACACAGACGACTTATATGTAAACTACGTCAAGTGGGTGTGAATGGAAATCTTTTGAAATGGCTAGCCGATTTTCTTACAGGCAGATCTCAGCGTGTGTATCGGAAACGCTAAATCGGAATGGGCATGCGTGCACAGTGGCGTTCCGCAGGGAAGCGTTCTGAGTCCAATTCTGTTTCTAATATATGTGAACGACTGCCTGGACTGTCTGAACTGCGAGCGAGTAATGTTTGTCGACGATCTCAAATTGTGTCAATCAATAGAGAAGCCGGAAGATTCTGTACAATTACAAGACAATTTAAATCGCTTGCAAAAATGGTGTGATGAGTGGGGTCTTAGCCTCAATCTTAACAAATGCCAACTTATCCGATTACGTTCGAGCAACAGGAGGCCGTCGAGATTTGAATCTCAGTACTTTAAAGGAGGTCACCAACTCGAATCAGTCAACGAGTTAAGAGGCCTCGGTGTGTGGATGACGTCAACTCTCAAACCATCGTCTCACTGCGCCAAGGTATCAAGGAAAGTTGTCGGTATTCTAGGCGCGATTAGAAGATCCTTCGTCAATTTTGATGAAAAACTTTTCGGCCGAGTATTTGGCGTATACGTTCGACCATTGTTGGAATGTTGTGTCCAGGCATGGTGTCCCTGGACGAAAAAAGATTACACCCTACTGGAGAATGTACAACGTAGAGCGACCAGGCTAGTCGGCGGATTATGTGGCTTACCTTATAAGAGACGGCTGGAGAAGCTAAAAATATTTCCTCTCTCATAGACAGTACAGAGGGGACATGACCATGGCCTTCAGGATCGTCCGAGGGCTAGACTGTGCTCTTCAGTTTGACGACTTCTTCGAACTGGCGCGGACGACAAATCTCCTCGGGGACCCATACAAATTGAGGATAAAACCTGCCAGAATCGATTTGCGGGCCAAATTCTCCTCTCACCAGCTGGTTGAGGGATGGAACAAATTGCCGAACTTCATTGTCTTAGTGCAAAACGTCGAGACTTTCAAAAGAAGACTAAATAAACTTATGCTTGATGGTCAAACACTTACATGATATCAGTGACTGGCATAACTGCTTTGTAGATTCTGAATTTTTGGTGTAACATTTGCATCTTTTTATCGAGCGTGTTTTTTGTAAAACAAACGCTCCGGTGGGGGAGTTGTGTAGGTTTACTCACATTTTCGATTGTTCACTCTAAACTTTCTTGTACACCTCAACATTTCTGTACGATTGTTTAAATTAGCTAAAGTACACACACTTGGTTTCGACTTGTGAAAAAGCGTGACTTTTGTGTCCGTCTGCTGCTTGGTGTCATTGTTTCGTTGATTGCACTCACTTGCGTCAATCGTTTTTAGTCAATCGACAGGAAACTCTTATATCTTTGGGCCATATTTAACTGGACGTAATTTCATCTGAACGACAAGCCTCATTCGTTGACTTCGTCTCGGATTCTACCCAGCACATTCACCCTACGGCCAACGCTTGTGGAGAAGGCTTTATTTATCGTGAGTCTGTACACTTATTTACCTTTTCTCGCTTTTCTTATACTCATTTTGCTATCGTTATTTTTCTTCTAAGAAACGCAGCATTCCCCACTCAGAGTTAGATACTTATTATTGTTTGTAGTTTTATTGCCGTTTACACTACAGGGAGGACAAGCGTTTTGCATCGGCTATTTTGTAGTTGTAACCCTACGAATACTCTCATCTTGTCTCGAGGCAAGTTGTAATTAAGAAATCTTCTGTTAGACCAGGTGAATTAATTTCGGCTAGAGGCTAACGATTACAAAATAAATTACACAGTTAGAGAGAAATCGAATGCACAAAATGCGAATTGCAGAGTGCGACTGCGGATGTCAGGCGCAGACTCGCAGAACTGAAAAGGGGATGACAGCAAGTAGCTCTGAGTGAATATGCCGGAAATGAAGAAGATTTAACAAAAAACAGGGCGATAAAACCGTTAGGTCTCTCAGAGAAACCACTTTAAATAATATTTTCCACTTATCTTCAAATTTAAAACCAGAGGTTTCTCTACGTTGTCCTTTACACTCTTAAAATTGCTTCCATTGCCACTGTATAGTCGTTATGGGCAACCCCTATGTGTTACAAATCGGCTGGAGCCCCTCATAAACGGATCGGTACCTCAAGAGTGCGCTTCTTCCATATGTACAGTTCGAGAACTAAGGGAGGTAAGCAGGAAACCGCATCGTTTTTTGAAGGAAATTCCCCATTTCACGAATATCAAACCGAAATTCTAAACGCCCGAAACAATAAAGGGATCGCATGATTATACATTCCAATCGGGGGGGAGGGGTGTCGGAGCCACTGCTTGTTGGTAAGGTCGAGACAAACACCTCCGGCACTTTAGACATTTTTTGAACGAGGACTTTATCGTCTTGTTTGCCCGCAATATCCAATACCGTATCCTTAATGTAAAGAGGATAAAGCTTTGTCTTACATTACTGTTCAGTTCGTGATAGTACACAATTATTAGATGCGTCACGAAACGTTGGGACGGCAAAATAATAGGATGTCAAGCGGTAGACAAG